AAAATAAAAAAAGACGAGACTTAAGTAGTTCGATGCTAGGCATCAGTCCTCTGACTCTTTTGTTTGAGCAAACATCTCGGTGTGAGTAAGCGGTCTTATACACCGACCAATATATTATATATTATATTATATATATATATATATATAATATATAATCACCAGCTTGAGAACAAGCATGGTACCAACGCAAAACAGCGATAATGGGTAGAGAAAGATTAAATGAAAACGGGGAAAACAATGAACAATAACAAATAAATGGATGTTTTTTGATAGAACCAAAAACAACTGTTTAAAAGGAGAGCTGGTAGTTAGAAATAATTTACTGGATAGTGGTTTACCTGCGATAGCGGGGCCTCCTGTGTTTTCTACTGACCAAACTAATTTTTCCGTCATTTGGACAGTAATATTCAGCTTTAATTTATATAAACACATCGTGCAATCTCGTGACGATTTTTGGTGCTATTCTTCGACTTCTTTTTAATTTTACCCTTGAACCGGTGATTGCAGATAGTAAATTTGGTTCCAAAATCATTGCGATACAACTGTTTAGCTCATACTGTATTTCGGGGAGCTGAAAATACGCACTACGTTGATACGTCATTGCATTATCGGCTATTTGTCTCATTGAATCACATTTTATTCATAGCCAACATTCAGTAATAATCTCGCCCAACAAAATACATCTTTATGTCGTACTATCCAATGCATCTATAGACTTCAAAAGCTGCACCGCTTGCACCGCCTTGCAGGTTGTACAAACATCACAGGTAGGATAAACAATCAGCAAGTTTACGATTACTGATACTCCTGCCTTTTGGCTGGACACCCTAGCAGTACCTGTCCAGCAAACCACAGTGTATATGCATTGCGAGTTTAAAAGCGATCAGTGAAGTTCTCTTTCGTGTAATTCGCTGTACGATGATGATTACTGACACTGTAATGCAAATTTGTGGGAAATTTCCAGTTGCTACCTCAAAACACCGTGCCGTTTCCGGAGGCATTTCCTAATATCCCTTATTGAATAAAAATGCTCCCGTTTCGTTTCACTGACAGATCTCGGTATGATAAATAGTGGATAAGGTGACCTCCGCAGTCATCAAAACCTTTTGCTCTGTCATGAGGATCGGCAACCTTAGCTATAATCAATTACATAAGAAGGGGCGTGTGCAGCGTCACCGGATAAGATGTCTCAGTGTTTGCCCATGCGAGTAGTAAGTGGAAGATGGTCAAGGGCTTTCACACTAATACAAAGGATCGCAAATCCTGGCGAAAGTACAGATTGCCTTAGGTACCTGGTTAGGAACAAAGAGATGTAGTTGAATGCCGTATCCAATTGTGTCTGCATCCGTCTGATTATCCGCGAACATCTAGTTGATCCGCGTTGTATATTATTTTGAAATTACTGAAATTCTTAATTTTTCACTACTTTCGACGAAACGGACAACCAAAGCCAGCACGTGAGAGAGAGAGAGAGTAAGATTATGATTGTACAAAATAAATCAACTTTAAACTCAACATGATGTTCTCATGACTGTTTGTTACTAAAATGCTACTGGTCACTTGGGTTGTGCACTAATTTTGTTATGGTGGTCAAGCAGTGTCAGTCGTCGTCACTGTAGCCCACCAATCCACCAGTTCCTGCCACCATCACCTAATCTTGATACGAGACTTAATGCCACGCCACTGGGACCTGATGTGACACGCCGCTTCGTGATCCAAGTTACTAATCTTCAAAACAAAACATCAGATCCTCCTAAACATAGATTCGGCCGTTAATCACTCTCTGGTGCCTTGCAAGTTCACCTGTATTGTGGTTTCAAGTTGTCAGGAAAGAGTTGTTGAGCTTTTTCCAGAACGCTGTTGAACACCTGTGTTTCTGGTCTATTTGGTATAGATTTTAGATGGAGTTTACCTTTGAGTAAAAAAAGGTGAATGATCAACGAAAGGTGTTTCCTAAAGCGTTCAGGCGTGCATAAACTACTATCCGCAAAATCGAAATCTTGGCATAAGGGACAGTCTCGTTTAATAAGACCATTTTGGAGAATATCGTGTATGTGGTCGGTAAAATGCATTCCGTATGATTTTATGTGACACTTCTACCAACATTCGCATCAGCAATTTGCACCACCCGTCATCAAGAGTTCAAAGTTTCTGGTTGGCATGCAAATTCCGCTCTTTATTACCATACTTGGTATGCAATTAAGAGCAGTATTAAGAGGGCATGTTGGGGTTAACAAAGTACCTGTTCAAGTGACGGTTTTCGTATTTATACTTCCTCATTATGCAACAGATAACATGGTGCAAATTTCAATAACTGTCAGTGTGCATCTCATCTTGGCATTTATTCGCATCCTTATTTGGTTAGAAAATTGTGAATTTCTTGGCAAAAAATTACATTGTAATAATCACTATCTGACTGACTGTTCACTCACATCGTAGTAGGGTGCTGATTTGACGCATAGAATCTGAAATCTTTCACTCTATTCTCACGTAAATCGTACCTAGTATAGAATCCCACCGAGCCTTTTAATTTGTTTTCAAGGTAACTACATGAAAACTTCTCAAAATTTACCAAGCAATGCTATTTTAGTAGTCTTATTTTATTAACTTGGTTTTTACACAAGGTCTACAAT